TACTTAAATAATTGCCAAATCATATTATTAAGTTGTATATCTATTCTTCCACTTTCTTTGGATTATTTTTCTTAATTCAGGAAAAAGAAATACTGTTTAACTGGTGAGGTTTTATTTCTATGCCAAATTTAAAAATAGTTTTATAATTTACTAGATTCGTAATTTGGTTTCCATATTAATGTTTTTGAATTTTATGCTTAAATATTAAAATCACTTTTGGAAATAATATGTGCTTAATTGTCATCGAAATATAGATTTTTGCATATAAAATATAATAAGCTTGAATTCTCTTTTTTCTTCATCATTCTTGAGATAATATCCTAATACTTGAGAAACAAAAGCCTACTGTTTTGGTATAATTAAAATTAAAGCTGTTATTTCAAAATAAAATCATTAGGCAATATTTTTAAAATTCAAAGACCACTTTTATTTTTCTGGATACATAGGCATATTTTTTATATTATGTTGTTCATTCTTAAAAATATAAGAAGAATTATTCAGTAAAGAAATGTAACAATTTACCATAGAAAATTTGGAAATATAAAATTCATTAAGAAGATATATACAAATGTATTTATATATTAAAATACCTAGAAACTTATTTGGTTATAGTCTTTCTACATTTCATGTAATTCTCATAAAAAATGAAATTCTTTTACAAATTCTTTAAAAAATGGGGTTATATTTATTGAGATTTAGCCTAAATATGAAGGTATAAAATGCCATCAGATTAGTATACACAATTTTCAATGAATTTTAAAAAATCTTTGCAAACATCCTCAAAACAGAGTTGACAATTCCTAAAAATAACATTAGTAGGCTTAAAATGGTTTGAATGATACTTGAATATCTTTACGTGTACTTATTAATATCAATCCACTGAGGCTTTTGCCTTATAATTACAATGCTTTGAATCTACTAGGTGTAATATTTAAAATACTAATTGAATTTACTTTTTCATAATATTAAATAACTGATTTCACTTAAATCATTTCGATAAGTTTGAAAAAAATGTTTTCAGAATTTTCTAAATGATAAATTTACAAAACACATTAAAAGAGACAAATTCTATTAAAATATATGTAGTAAGTATAACTTAGTACAATCTTGCCAAATAGACATACTTTAGACATATTTTAATGAAAGATAATAAAATATTAAATGATACATTTAATGTAAAATATGGTTAAAATCACGTAAAAGTGTTTAATTTTTCCTTTAGTAGGTTAATAATTTATCCTCTTGAGTTCAGAAGACTATTTTTCTTTATATTGTGAACTGGCAAAATTATCACATTATGATATAATCATATTTATGTGGTTGTATGATAAAACTTTTAATATCTAAGTATTTTTGATGAATTCTTTCATGTGAAATCAATTAATTTTTTTCTAAAAATTGTGTTTTTCTTAAATTACATAATAATGTAATACAATTCACTATTCCCAAATTACACGAATTTCAGCAGTTTCTTTTTTAATTTAATTGGTTGATTCATGAAGAGAAAATAAATACGTTTACCTAAGCTTATTGGTTGTATAACCGTTGTGTTTCTTTATTAATTTTTACTAGACACAGGCACAGAAAATTGAGTATACTATTCCAGGTAATTTTAAAGAAATAACTCCAATGTAGCTTTAGATATTTTTATGCTTTAGAATAACTATATTATTTTCACTCATTCTTGGCTATTCTGAAAATATTTGGGAAATGGAGATATTTACCTTTTAAAATCTGCATCACAATGATAAACCTTGAGCACCCTTAATTTCTCATTTTAATTCCATATGACAAGTTTCTTTAGATTCTTTTCATATCCATAATCTGGACACTTTCATGAGATTGTTTGGAGAATAATAGGGATGAGTAATCATTTCAGTGTAATGGCGTCAGAAGAAGCCAATATTCAGGGAGGCTTTACAAACTAAATTAGTATATCTAGTTGTTGTAGCTGTAATTTTATGAAAAAATAATGTCTAACTATAATACAAGTGATTCATTTTTACATTTTTAGAAAAAATATTTTTATTAGTCTTTTTAAGTGACACTGTCAGTTAGAACACTTTCAAATATATTAATAAATATTAATATGAGTATTTAGGAGGATTCAGAAGGCAGTACAAGAGATAGATCCAACCACTGCAAAGTCAATACAGAAGTTTTAAAGTTAAAGGAGATACTTGAAAGCTAGAATAAGAGGGGGAGGACTCAAGAAGATGAAAATTGGTTTGGGTCTTAAAACACAGGCAATGTGGATAGGAGGAGAGAAGTCTCGAAATATACTTCTCAGGGAAATAAAATTAACACAGAAAAAAGCATGTGACTGAGTGATGCCTTTATGAGAGCAGAGACAATTTATTATATTAAAGAGATGTGGAAAATAAGACTTAAATTTTTTAGAACTTCCCAACGTAATTAGCAGAGGAGGAAGAAATATATAGTTCTTAAGCATGTGGTTACGATATATGATTTTGCATCCTTTTCTTTATTATAAATACTCTACTTAACTGGTTATGATCACACAACTAGTAAATGGTGAGAGAAGATTGGGACCTAGATTTAAATTGCTAGAAAGTATTTGAACATAATATCCTATCACTATTTCTCCAAAAGATGCTTAGGTCACTAGTTCTCAGAATATGGTCAAGCTGACCTAGGATTGGTTCTTTGAGAATTTTTCAGGGTTTCTGTGAGGTCATAACTATTTTAATTAGAATACTAAAAGCTATTTGCCTTTTTTCACTTTCATTCCTGTGTGAGATTATAGGAGCTGTGGGCTAGATAAATGCCATCTGAAACAAAATAAGTTGAATAAATGAATGTGCTAGTAATGTGCATAATGATAGACTCACAGTGAGAAGATCAACACAACCATTTAGAAAAGACAGTTGCTTAATACTTATCATACAATTAATGTCTTACATATGTAATTAAAACTAGGTAAATGAAATACATTTTAACTGTTTAAAATTTCTCAATCCTGTCTAAGACACCTCTGTTATCCGATATATACATTCAGTTTATTTTAAGGTTGGTAGCTTATATTTGTCTTCTAGGAGGGAAATAACATCATGGTTGCCTTATATAAAATATTTTCAAACAACTAGACAGTTTCTGCTTATATGATTTGTAAGTATTTTAAATAGGCTGTACTTTATTTTATATTTATTCAGGACATGAATGAAGTTTCCAGCTTTGTTCAAGGCTCAAAGAAAGGATGCGCTCACGACACGTTGAATTATCCGCCTTTTACTCCAGGTAAATTTTATCTGGTTATATCTGGTTATATAACTACCATTAATTGACAATGATTTTATTCTTAGTTGGTAATTCCTAGCATATATTTCTAAATTAAAATCTTTAGTATAATTCTGATATCTTAAAATCAAGGATTTTTTTCTTCTTTCACCCAGAATATTTCCCACCTAGGATTATATTTAAGTAATCTACTACAAATCGTTAAAATGGGTCTGTAGGTATGTGATTCACACTATATATGTGTTTATTTCTCTATACCTACTAAAGGCTATTTTTCAATAGGTTTATTTATTATTGAAGTCAGGAAGCAGAATAATTATTAATTTATTAATAAATGTAAATCTAAAGTTATTCCAAGCTCAACAGGAGTGGAAGGTGAAGACCTAATTGAAATTTAGTTTAATTAAATTATTGCCCTCTTTCATTATTTTTGACTAAGTATGATATTACATAGCACATCATAAAAGGAATATAAAGTTTAAAATGGAAAAAATGTCTCTTAAGAAATGTTTCTTTTATATTTTCTCTAAGATATTCTCGACAAACTCATGTATTCTAAAACAATTTGCATGGATGCCGTGCAGTACTGGGGGAAACAGTATGATGTTCATAGCCTCTATGGATACAGCATGGCTATAGCCACAGAGAAGTAAGTGTCATTTCATTCAGAAAATCTCTTCATGTTTAATATCCAGAAATGTTTTTAATAATTTATCAATATAGTTAGGGATTATCAAGAATAAGAAAGAAAACAAAGAGAATATTTTCTTGCTAAAAATTTATCACATTGAAAGTATCAGATTTTCCTCATATTCATAAACTCGGAACTCAAGTTATTAAGAATTACAAGATATATGTATTTAACTGAGATTCTTTTTTAATTCATAGATTTAAGTCATCTTCTAAAACAGCATTCCTCGATCTTTTTGACACCAGGGACTCGTTTTGTGGAAGACAGTTTTTCCACAGGCCGGGGGTGGGGCGGGGGCCGTCCTCCACCTTAGATCGTCAGGTGTTGGATTCTCATGGGTAGAGAGCAACCTGGATCCCTCGCATGTGCAGTTTGCAATGGGGTTCATGCTCCTATAAGGGTCTGATGCCGCTGCTGATTTGAGGGGGCGTGTGGTGGGGTTGCGGTTCTGGCGGTGATGTGACCGATGGGGAGCGGCTGTGGTTGCAGGTGGGGCTTTTCTCTCCTGCTGCTCTGCAGTCCGGTCCCTGGCAGCATGGACTGTGCTGGTGTGTGACCCTGGGGTTGGGGACCTCAGCTCTAAAAGTTTGATTCAGTTTGCTGTCTCTGAATATAATTGTGTTCTAAACATGAACTCAACAACTGGCCTGGAAAAATGTTTCTCCTAGAACAGAATTTTTTTTTTTAATACAATTATTTTTCAGAAACTAGTGTTTCAATTAAAATGTAGTTCACTAAGTAGTATTCCCCCGAGTAATTTTCTAATGCAATGTGTTACAAAACATGATACAAAACAAAAGAAGGAGATATGTTGATTATCTGCTATTTTCCAAGCATTGTTTAAGGTCCTATAATAAAATAGTAAAATACAGATCCTGGCCTCAATTTGTAATTTTCTCATAATTAAACATTTATACGTGAGTATTAATTCACACCCATGTTCTTCTGGTCCCAAATCAAACTCTGATATCAAAAACTCTTAAACTCTGTCTTCATGGTGTGTATTTACTTCTTAAATTCAGTAGAGTATTATATATTGAAGTGTTTAAGTCAATCAATTTTATGTAAGAAAAAAAAACTATCGTTCAATATGATATAGATTATAATATGCAAAAGTGCCTGGGAATATTATTATATTTTTACTAGGAGAGTCTGGATAATTTTATATACTGATTCAATTTTTTGTGTATTTTTTCCTGATTATTTGTCATTTATGGAAAAATTACCAGTAATAGTTGCATACTACTAGGGATGAATAATGCTAGTAATTGTGGGTAGTAAACTTCTAGAAACTAAAACAAGAAATTGCTTCTGAAATATGTAAGTTTAATTCTGACATTGCTTGCTAATATTTGAGAATGCAGACATTAAGATATAATTAGAATCATTGCATTACAAAAAGTATATCAAGTTCAAGTTCAGGTTACTAAATGTTTTATTTATAAAAGGATTTCAAGAATTTTAAACCGTATGTTTCCAAAATGAATGTTGAGTGGATACCAAAAGCACATATTTATTTAATTTGGTAAAAGATGACTGAAGTCATTCAAAATCTCTGTCATTTCTACAAGATTTGTTTTCACTTTATTTTATCAGAATGTATTTAAATAAGTAAATGTTGAAGGCTAAATACAAAATTGATACAAAATTTTGATAAAATAGTTGCAAATATTATGGCTTGGCTCTGGGAATTGTAAAATATGCATTTGTAATTAAGATTTTAGAATTTATAAATTTCAACTTTATTTTTAAAACAAATCTTGCTTATTCATTTGGTTTTATCTGTAGAGCTATACAAAAAGTTTTTCCTAATAAGAGAAGCTTCATTCTTACCCGGTCAACGTTTGCTGGCTCTGGACACTATGCTGCACATTGGTTAGGAGACAATACTGCTTCATGGGAACAAATGGAATGGTCTATCGCTGGAATGTTAGAATTCAGTTTGTTTGGAATACCTTTGGTAAGGCAGTTTCATACAGTGTTATTTATCAAAGCAGGAATTAAACTTACATTTTTAAATCATCTTAATGATTTTTGGTAAAATGATTATAAGGCATGTAATAAAAAATTCCATTTTTATTCATAAGGAATTTGTGAGAAAAATAAAAAGGATGTTGTCTATAATATTCAAATCATTGAAATGGGAAAATATAATTAACAAAATTTAATCAAAACAAAAAAATTCAGGAAAATAAGTATAAATATAAGCAAAGCATACAAGAAGTTTATAAAATAAATATAAATAAATGGTAATGACAATAATAATAAAGATAAATTTCAGAAATCTAAATCTATTTAAATACTAGATTATCAGTTTAGATTAAAAATAAGAAATTTGTTTTGTTTAGAAGATAAAAGACAAACACAAAAAAAGTGTCCAAAATTTCAAAAGTAAAGATGATGTATGCTAGGAAGTTCTAAACATAAGAAATCTGGCATGTTTCTACTTCTATCAAACAAAAAAGTAGTACACATATTGATATTCCAAACTAAAGGGAGCCACTAACAAAGAATATAAACTATATTAGAAAATTATAGTGATTTATTTATTTTTTCATATGCACAATAAAAGCCAACCACACACACAAAAAATCTTGCATATGAAAATTAAAACACATATTATCAAATTATTCATAAGTCAAAAAACAAACTGAGTGGAATTGAAAAGAACAACCTTAGAATTGAACGTTAACAATTTTACTTCTCAAACCATGTGGAATTTTAGTAAAGTTAGTATTTAAAGGAAAACTTACAGTTTTACATACTTAAAAGCAAAGAAAGGCTGAATATGTGAATATTAGTGGGTCAAGTGCATGAATTTAAAATGTGGAAAAAGAAAAATGAAATGAATCTAAAGAAAGATATAGGTAATAAAAATAAGGGAAAAAATTAATATAATGAAAGCTAAGTCTCTAGAGAAAAAATTTAAAAATTCATAATACAAAGGTTGGTCTTTGAAAATTTTAATAAAATGGAGCAATTTATGACATGTTTTGTCAAAAAAGAAGAAAAAGTGATTTTAGGATATATTTTAATATAAAGTATCATTTATTATAGCAACCAATTAACAAACAATAATGAGGAGTAAATATTTAAAATAATGTAGGACTTTTTTGAGAAATATTTAAATGATAACTAAAGACATTCCATATTCAATAATAAGAAGGCTCAATGTATTAGGAATATTCATTTTCCATAAACGGAATTCAGTGGAATTCCAATTTAAACCATAAAAGGGATTTTGAGGAACATAAAAAGATTTTTCTAAACTTCATGTTAAAGATGATACATTTTAAACAACTAGGAAAACACTGAGGATTTGTTTTGCTAATTTAAGCTGTAGTAATCATCTCAATGATACTGGACTATGGCTTTGCAAATAGATTAATATGGGAAAATAAGATGCAATTCTATGCATATATAGAAATTTCTTCAATGACAGTGCTATCACTGTAGATCAGTGAGAAAAGTATCAACTATTCATGTAGACAATTGATTATCCTTTTAAAAAAAAAGATAAAAGGGGGCTATTTCTCACACCATACACAAAAATCAATCCCAGATAGATTAAAGACCCACATGTAAAAAGTAAACTTTATCTATTTTAGAAGAACATTTAAAAGAGTAAATTCATGACATGAAGTTAGAGGAATAATTTCTTAAATAGAACACAAATCGTTAAGGAAACGTATATAGATTGACTGCAACAAAATGAAAAGTGCTCATCAAAGATAATTTGAAAAAATTAAAAATAAAATCAACTTACAAACAGGGAAATGATATTTTCAGTTCATATAGCCAATAAATCATTGATATTCAATTTAAAGTGTCTACTGTAAATCTATAAAAAATAACAATAGAAAAATTAGTAAGGGATATAAATGCAATTCTATGGAAAAAGAAACACATATGGACTCAATTATGTGAAAGAGTTCTCAGCCTCCCCACGAGTTAGAGAAATGCAAATAAAAACCTTGATGAGATACATTTCATGTAGATAGATGATAAAAATCAAAAGTCTGAAAATATGAAGAGTTAGTAAGAAAATGGATAATGAGAAATTTCATGTACTTTATAGTGCTTGTAAATGGTTACAACCAGTTCTAATTAAACAATGCACATTACCAATAAACCAAAAAAGAATCCGGTGTATATATACCATATAATAAATGTAAGTTTTTTTTTAACATATTCACAAGGAAACTATACGGGTTGAGTATCCTTTATCTGAAATCCTTGGGACCAGAAGTGTTTCAGATTTGCAGTATTTCCATACATAATGAGATGCCTTGAAGATTGGACCCAAGACTAAACGCAGAAGTCATTTATGTTTCATATACATACCAATAGCGTGAACATAATTTTATACACTTTTAAATAACCTTGTGTATGAAACAAACTTTTGCCTGTGTTTTGGTAATTCATCACATGAGGTTCAAATGTGGAACTTTCTACTTCTGGTGCCATGTCAGCATTCAAAAAGTTTTAGATTTTGGAGCATTTCAGATTTTGCATTTTCAGGGGGTGCTCAACATGGATATTAATTTCATGGAAGCATTTTTTACAATCATCAATTCCCATACAATAGAAAACTAGAGCAACATTAATATAATCGACTCTCACACAAAAAAGAAATTATACTGTTATATAAAGTTAATCAGACATGTAAAAAACCTATATAT